CCAGGTACTTTTGGAATCTCCATTACAACCCCCTAACCCCGTCCCCCGCCCCCGCCCCCGATCCTCACCCCGACCCTCCGATCCAGGATTTCGCCGATCGAGTTTCGCAAGTTATGAAAGTTTTCTCGCGCCTAAACCGCGGGAGGCTTTCACTCGAGAATCTCTTGTATGACACGCTTGAGTTTCAACTTTGGTGCAGGCTGAGTGACTTGCCTAAAAACGACTTAGGTTCGGCTCCATGTAGGGTAGTAGTATGAAATTTTTATCAGTATGCCTGCATCCCTTAGAACCACACCCCGAACACCTCAAAGGGGAGGGTTTTTTAAGGGAGATTTCCTGCCAAGCTCTGTGAGGGCATGAAATTTTCCCAAAAGACTGAAAAGTATAATTTCAACTTGAGCCATTACCTTCCATTTTTCTCTTCAATAGTAAGCGTTAAATTTTCCTTTTGCCCATTCCATGACCACTATAAACCACTGGGTTTTCTTGAGTTATATTCGTTTTACCCCAATATGGAAGACCTGATTTTGAGTCTTCGGAAAGTTTCCATATTTGCAGTAAGAGATCATAAAATCCTACTCGTATGAGTTTTACCCTCTTTCGTAGATCTGTTATCAATCAGGATTTCGTCTCCTCTTTTACTTCCCCATTTATGTTGGTATTTTTTCTTGGCATTCAAGTTCTGAAAGGTGTTTCTCCCGGGAAAATGCTGAACGGATTTGAACCAAGATTTTATTATGATCATTTTTCCGTGCCCCTCCTCGCAATTCTAACCTTCTTATCTTTAAAGACATCGAAGTGAACCCACTGAAAGAAATATTAAATCTTAATTAAGAAATTATTAAACCTCTCAGCGTTTTAGAGTTGAAATGAAGTACCTTTTGGGACGAATTGAAATGTATATTTTAAGCTCTTGATATGATTAAAGTAGTCTACCTGATTTTTCTAGCATCATAAGACTCGCGTTCATATCCCGTAAAAATAATCCTATGAGATCTTTCACATACCTATATACACAGTTTTTAAAAAATTTGAAAGGATCAAATTCGTGGGTTTTTGGTTAAGGACCCAGACAAAAAGGGCGCATTTCATTTCCTCTTTATCCCCTTTCGTGTTACTTTAGCAAATCCATTTTCCTCTGTTTGTTATTTTTTCCTTCATAATCGTTACAAAAAAAAACTTTCTCCAAAATTTACCCGGTAAATTTGGTCTTGGCTGAACTTTTGCGGGTATTGCGAAACTTTCGCCCCAAAGATGTAACAACTGTTATGGCTGCGGCACTGCGGAAAGCGGTTGGCCTTGATCCATTTTTCCATTTTCCGGGCGGTGTCCTTTCCGGCATTTTACCTCGCCAACCGGAAACAGTAACAATTTACGATTTTTCACCGCTGTTGTAATACAACCGAGAAATACATTTTGCTTCGCTTCAGAATAATAAAAAAGTTTCACGTATCCAGGAGTTAGTTTTGTTTTACTTATTAAACCTGGATTTTAGTATTGATATAAAATTAAATAAAACAAAGAGCAGCTCTGACAGTTTCAAGTAGGTTTATCGACAAGATTCATCCTGGTTTTGACAGCAACGGCGTTTGAAAACTTTAAAAAAATTTGTAAACAACTATTTAAAAATTATAATTTTTGTAATTAAAAGAAAACCACGTTTTACTACTTTTTAAAGTAATATCTGAGAGACAAAAATACTGTCAAAATTTTTTTCTAAAGCACTCTTAAAAAATATATTTTAGTTTCTTAAAATCTAAAATCTTCAAAAAAGTGGTCGAAAAACTCATAAAATCCCGCAGTAGTATTCTAAATAATTTTTTTTTTTTACGCGAGTGTTAGGGAGAGGTAAATTTTACTTTAAAAATTAATGAAAAAAGTTCCCTTTTACGTTATCTGTTAAAAGTTTTAAAGAGTTAGAAAAGTGCTATCCAACAGTCACTACCAATTAATACCTAAACATAGGTACGTGCTTTGAGTCAAAAGTGCGGTCAAACCGAATATTCCCATAAAGATAACGTGCTCCATATTTTCACTCTACTACTCTACGGTCTCTACGGCAGTGCTCAACTGTGTAAAAGTTACTATAGCGGATGCCCAAGTGCAAGTGCTTTTCTCCCAACGATGGGTTTTGAGTATTATATATTGAACATTCAGTTCAATTAACAAGGACCAACATCACAGACTCTCTCGGTTAATATATCCATAATAAATATTTCTCAGCAAAACTGTAGGCAAACTGGAATGAAGATGCCACCCCACTCGAAAAAAATCAGCCTCCGACATTAATTGAAATTTTACACGGAGAGATACTTCCAGTTGGATCAGCAGAAACATATAATATCGCACAAGATATTGACATGATCTTTATTGGGCAACCAGAGTTTTCGTTAAGAAAATGAGATATTCAGCTATGGGCATAGAGACAGCTACAGCTTTGAGTACTCGTTTGACTGCCTCGTTGATGTAAACAGGTTGTTCACCTACTGCATTAAAAAACCTAACCTTTAAGTTCTAGGAACTAAATCTGGTTAAGACCTTCAATTTAGCTATTTTGAAGAATGCTTCACCGCTCACCTAAAGTAAAATTTGCCTTACTTTCTATAATCCTGTTTCCTACTTTGTGCATCAGTCTTAATTATTGCAAGAAGATCAGTTACTGCATGCCTATAATTAGATAATTAGCCTCCGAAAGTAATCAAAATCAGCCTCGGTCGACCGACTCATGGATGAAGAGACTCAAGTGATTAATTGATACAACTTAACGGGCTTTGCTGTGTGCGAAATTGCGTCATTATTTTTGAAGGCGCATAGGCAGTGTCCTGTACCATCTCCTACAACGGCTGATTCGGACAGCATTAACCAGAATCAATCCAACTATATTACTGGTTGCCTAATTTTCTCTCATGCTTTATTTAACGCGAAAATGAAGCAAAACTTTGCCTTAAAAGTTTTAAAAGTATGCTCTACAGTCTGAGGGAAATTTATTTATGGTCTCAAGGCTAACTGATGCTTCATTTTTTTTAAAAAAAAGTTGAAACATGGGATGATTTTAAGCGACATAAAATGCTGTAAAGCTGTTTGGATGGACTAGAACAAATTCAGACTAACTACATCAAACGTTGCCTGATTTCCTGTGGTATTGCATTTTTTTGTAAGGAAACCGAGCAACATCCTGACGTAAAATTTTTAGAGCCATTTCATCATGATGCCTAGAAATTTCACGAGAAATTTTAAAGTGGTATGTTGTTCGGTTCTTTCTAATATAAATAAATTATAAAAGTGAAAATGAGGCAGCATGATTAATAGTTAAGCTGATTTTGGCTAATTCCGCCCGATTCTGGTTAAATCCGGGTTTTCCTTAATTCGAACAAGGATATCCGAACTCTCGGTCTCAAGACGTATATTACGGAATGGAGAATTTGCAAGCAAATTTTTTGTTGCTTCGTCTGAAAGTGCTTAAAGAGCTGATTCCACAGTCTTTTTTATAATTTTTTTCTGATATGGGAAATTGTATAAAAACAGATTTAAAAGTGAGGAAATGCACCGCCTTGTGAAGTCATCTGGCGGCATTTCCCACTTAAACACATGTATTTTAAGAGAATCGATTATTTTTTCATATCTCCTCTAATGATTGCTCAATTTATAAATCAAGAATATCTTCGTGTTCAGTTCACTCAGTAGATTCCACTTAAACACGAAATTCATCAAATTTCAGACCCTTGCATATTCTCCATTCTAGAATTACGTATACCTAATTCCGTAGAAATTACGTAGGATTTTAAGGAAAATTGGCAACAAGTGCTGGTGTCGGGATTGCGACGGTGGTCTCCAGCCTGGAGTGAAGTTGCGTTTGCCGCAGAGCAGAGAACTTGAACTAAGCTTCTCGTGACAGTCGCGATCGACGTCGGCCATAGCCGCCCCCCCGGTATGAGCTTTCTGTCATCGATGACCGGCTTTAATGCTCACCGTAGATTTAGATATTATCCGGCTTTGCGGCATCTGCTCGAGTTTCGACAAACTTCGAGAGAACCTATCATTATCGTATATTGGTGGTTCACGAGCAGAAATAGAATCAAGGAACAGGCCTGAATGTGCCTCCGACCTCCGGTGGAAAAACTCATGTTTACATTCTTAATTATAGATTCACATTCATCGCTTTTGAAACTATAGTTATGAAGAAGGCAAGAAGGAACTGTAGTTACGAAGGTTTGGAAATCGCACACTTCCATTGCGCCTTCAAATATTGAGGACGCAATTTCACATGTTGCGAAGCTCGATCGCTCGAAATCGAATTCTTCATCTTGATCCGTCTCATTTCGGCTCGCGACGTTGCAAATATTTTATTCATTTCAGTTTTATGTAAGAAAATTATCTTTTTAACGAGTAAAAATCTTAATTTTTTATGATGTAAATTTTCAAATTGCGCTTGAAAAATTCCTATGTAAACAATATGTTAGCAGGGAGATTTGGTCCCATCAACCAGTTTTAATATTTAATAGCGTTGAAATTTTTGAGTGAAACCGCTTATTTTAAAAGATTTGTACGTGCAAGAGAATATTCGGAGGTATTTGTTGCGTCAGACCGTGGATTAATGAACCAATCTCGGCACATTGCACTTGTCGGGGATTTGGAACAGGGAGCGTCAATTCGAAAAGCCCGCCGTAAATTTGAAATTCGTGCCACGCAAAACGGGAGATTTCCCGCCTAATTTACGCAGTTTCCGCCTCCGGTACTTTGTTTCCGGTAAACTTTCGATTTCCGCTGAATGAACACCAATGAGAACGCTCACTTTTCGAATCAACAAGATGGGATGGTATTGATCAACAACAATAACTGTAAACAACATGTGTTTCACTGTTTCTCCTTCTCTTCTTCTCATTTTATTGCTTTTATTAGCGTGATTTGGATTTCGAATTTCGAAATTCAGTGTCATTAGTAATGTGTAAGTTTGTTTTCCGATTGTTAATTAGTTTCGGTTTCTTTTCGTTTGTTTCCAGCCGGATGGGAACACATCTTTCTTACGGGCGGCCAGGGGTGGTCACTTAGACAAAGTCCTAGATCACCTGAAGAATAATGTGGATATAAATACAGCAAACTCTGTAAGTTACCTCATGGCTGTTAATTTTCTTTTAATTTAACTTTCTTGTAGTATTTGCCCATCTCACACTAAGGATGTGACAGGTGAATCATCTGAATCTTCTGAGCTTCTAAGCTGTTGAACGCAGGCTGAAAGATGGCTTAGCCGAATGATAGTGTAGAATGTTAGTTTCATCTTCATCTTCCCATTTAAGCTGATATCACACTACCAGTCGGACTCTACAATAAATGACATTTGCAGGTTAAATGGAAAGTCTCGGAGTGTCTACACTCTGTCCAACACAGTCTGGACTGCTCATGTGATGGCCAGAGCGGACTCATCGCATGTTGAGACAAATGTCAATCTCTGATTACCTCCGAATCAACACCACTCAACAGGTTAAAACATGCATTCAGATGGCACCACAGATGAGTGGTGACCTGAACAATACTTGACTTTTGTCTCAACATATGATGAGTCTGCCCTAGCACTAGCAACGTCGCCAGCTTAGTTGGCACTTGTTTACATTCCGCTTACAAGCGATCGCTATGCAATCGTTCAATAGCGACCAAAGATTGACTGTGGCCCCATTGTGAGCGTAATCAAACCTTGATCTTTACTGGACAACTGTATTGCAGTCGCTTGCTAACGGAACATTAGCAAGTGCCAACTTAGCGAACAGCACCTCTAAACAGGTGTTGTTTGCAGCAGACAATACGTGAATAATAGTATTTAATCATTCATAAATTGAAATGGCTCAAGTTACTGTAATTGCAGGAAAGCACCAATGCAAGATTAAAGGTAGCAGGTTCACATATGCTGCATCTCTTCCAAGAAGTCACATTCCAAAGTGTGCCTTCTAGCACAAGTACTTCCAGTTAGGGATGGACGAATATCGAATGCAAAGATTCGAAACTTTTCGAATGCGAATATTTGAGAATTTGAATCTTGCGATTGCGAATAGTTCGGATGCAAATATTCAAATATTTTCGATTATTGCTTCGATTTTTTATTTTTTTTGAACCGTGAGAGATAGAATGACACTTTTGAATGCGATTATTCGAATTTGTGTTTTCGAATACTTCGGAAGCGAATATTCGAATGTGATGCAATTATCTCGGTGCCGATGATTCGAATATTTGAATATCTAAATGTTCGACCATCCCTACTTTCAGTTAGGTAGAGCGGACGCATCGTATGTTCAGACAAATGCCAATCTCATTACCGCCGAATCAGCACCACTCAACAGGTTAATATATGCAGTCAGATGGCACTACTGATGAGTGGTGACCAAAGTAAACAATTCTTGACTTTTTTCTCGACATACGATGCGTCCGCTGTACTAGCAGATGATTTTCAAACAGTCCAAAGCGGATTGTGCTAAGCAGCTTTTCTCAAAACAATTCTGTGTCACTCTGAAATATTATGAATCTCTCAACAGTCCCAAAGGATACCTTGAGTCCACGCCGAATAAGTTTACGCACTTCTAGACTACAGCAGAAGATCGTCTGACATCGCTTTTACATGTGTAGGAAATGGAAGAATCAAGGTGGCTGATCTTCTGCTGCAGTCTGAAAGTGCATAAACTTATTTGGCGAGAACTCTATCAGGTATAATGTTGTAATTTTTTTTAGCGAACGTGCGTTAAAAATTTAGTATATAGCTGATATCTTAAGCAGTTTGTCTATCAGGTATGTTTGAACTTAGTTTCCAGCGTTCAGACGAATACTGCAAAATGGAACAGGAAGGCAGGCAGTTTTCTTCAGCAACAGTTTTCCTTGTTAGCGCCTAGTCTGACCGTTGCAGTTCAATATTTTGCTGGAATTTTGGAATGAAATCAAATTAGTATGCATTTTCCGCGTGTCCTCCCTAGATTGGATTTTTTCATGGGTAAACCACTCCTTAAAATTGTATCAATTTTGAACGCTTGAATAATTCAATGCCTCATCATGTCTCTCTCTTTTTGGCAGAATGGACTAAATGCTCTACACTTAGCATCCAAAGATGGTCATATACACGTAGTTGAAGAATTGATCAAAAGAGGTGCCAATTTAGATGCAGCAACAAAAAAGGGCAACACTGCCCTCCACATAGCTTCCCTAGGTAAGATCAGCCTTCAAATTGTGCCAGATTTAATCTAAAATTTCACACTCAAGGAATTTCCATTGCTGTGGCATGTTAAGTATTATTGTTATAAAGAGCCTCTAATAAAATATGTAATACTGAATTTTGGATTTTTTGGATGCATGGAGAGTTACCTTTATTGTTTTTCTGCAAAGAGGGAGAAAACTTTGATTTCTCATCAGAGAATATGCTCCTGAAAATCAAAGAAAATCAATAAAAGATCAGGGAATGAGTATGGTCAAAAATTCTAGACACCGTGTAAGGGAAAGGCAGGGAGACAGAAGACTCAAGAATCAGGGAAACGTGGAAAGTCAGAGGAAAGGGACAGAAAATTTTGCTAGGCGCTATAAAATTGAATAAAAAGCAAATATACCCACACAGTTAGGTTCCATTTAAACATGTATTAAGTATTTATAAAAGAGTGTGCAGGTTAAGACTGAAAAAGACAAAATGGCAGGTTATGTCAACAAAATGAAGGTATGGAACAGAAAACGATCATGCTCAAAGCAGGGAACCAGAGTCAGAGTTGAAAATTAGATACATTTGAAATTAGTACATCACTGAAAATCCATGAAGTAGGTTAAAAATAACCGAAAAATCGCTATCAATGGCTAAGTTTAGATAAGAACTTAAAATTCCAGGAATCTTAGAGATTCTGGGTAACGTTAGGAAAAATGGAAAAACTCCAAAATTTAGAATTAATGCTGAAAAATGGCTGCACTGGAAATGATTTAATGATTAATAAGCTGCTATTTTTGTTTACTTTTCAGCTGGTCAAGAAGAAGTAGTCAAATTATTAGTTCAACATGGTGCTTCTGTCAATGTACAAAGTCAAAATGGATTCACACCACTCTACATGGCTGCTCAAGAAAACCATGATAGTGTTGTCAAGTTTCTTCTTGCAAATGGAGCTAATCAGAGCCTTGCAACAGAGGTTTGTAATTATTTTTCAAAATATTGTGGTCCAATTTTTTATTTCATGCTTGGCATTAAGAGTAACCATTGTGATGAAAGTAAGCTTCTAGACATGTTATGAATGAAAGCACATATGCCACATGTTTTGTCTTTAAAATTTCACGACTAAATCACAACACTCAATGCAAAGTCTGGAAATCAACTACGAAACAAATTTTAACAATTTTGAGTAATCTTAATATCTTTCCATTGGCCTGTGTTAAAAAGACTTGTCATCATCTTGCTCAGGAATTTGCACCTGAACTTTGCATTATGTACATTTTTTGCTTTGTAAGATTTTGAAGAGAAAACATCTAACTCTTTGCATTTCAGATGTTCTGTAGTGACTCATTACAACAGCCTGGAGTGAAAAGAAATGAGTTACTTACATTGATACCAATATTTTCCTTGAAAAGTGTATGATTTCAGATACTTGAAGTGGCAATTTTCTCACTACTACGTGCAACTGGTTTTAATTATGAATATAAATTGACGCATCAAGAATACCAACTGTCATTAATCAGTAACATCATGGAAACTTACTTATGGCAAGCTTGTTAGTTTAATTGTCAACAGATTTATCAGAAATCAAAACTGCATTCAAATTTTACAAATTCATTATGCAAGTCTCATAAAAACTTTTGTTACAGGATGGGTTCACTCCGTTGGCTGTGGCAATGCAACAAGGTCATGATAAAGTCGTAGCAGTTTTACTTGAAAATGACACGCGCGGGAAAGTGAGATTACCCGCACTTCACATAGCAGCCAAAAAAGACGACTGCAAGGCTGCAGCCTTACTATTACAGGTAACTGTAATTTTATTTAATTTTTGGCTGTATGGTTCTAGGAGCCTAAAAAAGTATGAAATAAGGACTGTGAAGTCAGAGAATTCCGAAGAGGGGGGATTCTAAAATTTTTACTGCCTTATTCCTTTCTTGCTCCACCCAGCAAAGTTTGAATAAATCACATCAAAAGCATTTTTGTTGTCAACGTTTTGTACATCAAAAATCAGGAGAATTAATGATGTTGTCTTGTCAAATAATTTTTACTGGCAACCTTGTATTTAAATACCAAATTCACATCTACTTACAACTGTTCATCTGTAAAAATGTTCACTACCCGGTGCAGAATTTTATCTGTAGCAGTCTTCCATCTGTAGATGATTACAAACATATTTTTTTTTTTTTTTTTTTTTTAATTTATTGTTTGCTGATGATTTACAGGTGGGTCCAAACTCCTGTAGATAAATATAAAAGACAGCTTGATTCTAGAATATCTTGTGCATCATTTCTACTTGAATTTTGATGTAATGTCAACTGAATCAGTTAACCAAATTCAGATTGTAGTAAATTTCCAATTAATATTCAAAATTCCCCATCTAATGTAAAAATTTTAAATTAGCCCTGAATTTCTTAATTTTCTTTTTATTGAAGGTGAATTCTCATTTCCATATTCTTTTTACAGAACGAGCACAATCCGGATGTAACGTCCAAAAGTGGTTTTACGCCTCTTCACATTTCCGCTCATTATGGCAATGAGGCTATTGCTAATTTGCTTCTCAGTAAAGGTGCCAATGTAAATTATTCCGCAAAGGTGAGAAAAATAATGTTTCATTTCTAGGTTAAGCCTATGCAGTTGGTCAGATTCATTTCAAGCAATGAAATCTAAATGACTGGAATTTTGACATGAGAATTTCTCGCTTGAATTCCAAGCAGGTTATCATAGCAAATTGGCTAAGTGGAAAATCATCAAGCCAATCAACAGAAAAAAGTAATAAACATATTTCGAGGAGGAAACTGAAATGAAAACATTAAAGCAGATTATTAGCAACATTTAGTCATATATTAACATCACCTATGATACGATAATATTTTTTATCCCTGCATCAGTTTCCAAAATACCGCAGACCCACATTCCTCAAAATGGGCAGTTATATCTGAGGAGCATTAAAAGTATGAATTAATGCGACAGCTCTATATCCATAAGATGAAATTTTACTATTTTTTGCGCTAAATCTTCAGTTTAAGAATCATAATTTTTCTCAAATTCCAGCATAATATCACACCCTTACATGTAGCAGCCAAATGGGGGCGAGCAAACATGGTGGCTTTACTCCTGGAAAAAGGGGCTAATATTGAATCAAAAACACGAGATGGTCTCACCCCATTGCACTGCGCTGCAAGATCTGGTCATGAACAGGTTGTTGACATGCTACTAGAGCGAGGTGCGCCCATCAGTTCCAAAACAAAGGTATACAATGAATCTTTATTTTACAAACTCCTTCAAACGATTTGGTGGTGTTAAATAGCGTTTTCTCTTATTGTAAAATGCTCATTTTTATAAGCTCTCTCTCTAGTTTCACCATAAAATGTTAATCATTTGGGTAAAACATAAAAAGTTACTTTTAGCATTTCAAAAATGGCACAGTTTTTCCTTTATTTCTAAATTTTCTTTCAAAATATCCTCTTCCTAAGCTTCTGTCATTGTAATCTCATGATATACGCACCTGTGAGAATTGTCTCTCTGTAGAACTTGCTGGAATCTACTTTTGGCTACTTCCGTGTCAGTTCAAACAAAAGTCTTGGTGGCTACCTACTTGAAAACCCCATTCAGAATTATATTTTACAAATAAGTTTTATGTATTTTCACTTATTTCTACCCACTAACTTGAAGGTTTCATTAATTCTCTATTTTTTCAAAGTCATGGTTGAGGTTAAGTGAAAGCACCATTATTATTGTGCCGAAAACCATGTATACGAAATTGCATTGAATTGTATTGTGCCCAATTGTATATGAAACCAAGCTGACGCATTTATTCAAGTTTCTCATGCCATATTTTGCGCTCTTTGTTTGACTCTAGAATGGTCTTTCACCTCTACACATGTCAGCGCAAGGTGATTTCGTAGATGCAGCACGGATTCTCTTGTACCATAGAGCTCCGGTAGATGATGTAACGGTCGACTACTTAACAGCTTTACATGTCGCTGCCCATTGTGGAAATGTCAGAGTGGCTAAACTACTTCTGGATAGGAAAGCAGATCCCAATGCGCGAGCTCTCAATGGATTCACCCCATTGCACATAGCTTGCAAGAAGAATCATATTAAGGTCGTCGAATTACTTTTGAAACAAGGTGCCTCAATTGAGGTCACAACTGAGGTAAGTTTTCTTCTTTTTTTTTTAATGAAAGTCCCAATCTGTTTTTTCTGTGGAAAAAGCTAAATAGGTTTTTTTTCCCAAATTAATTGACAGAGAAGCAGGGATGCATAACCCTCCCCATTCCGTCCTAAACTCAGTAGCTCTTTTTATTTACCTCATCCATCATCCCCTTGGAATCCTCCAGGTGAATGTCCTGCAATATACATTCCAAAAGCAAATGGACAACTATCAAGAGTTTTTTTTTCCAACTTTATATATTCTGATTAGATTACTTAAATTTTTGAGTCTTTAAGACCATATTCTTTTCAATTTTCGAAGGGGATAAAGTTTTTGAAGAGATTTTTTTCATTGCCTTTTCATTGTTTTTTACTCGTCGTAAAATAATCAATACTGTAGCATTTTCTCAAAAAATTTGCCATTGCCAAAATTTATAAGTCTGTAAGAGGAAGAAAAACTATTAAAAATTTCCCACTTGACTGGGAAAAAGTTCTTGAAGAGCTTTTTTTCGTCGTCTTTTCAGCATGTTTTACTTGTGGAAAAATAATCAATATTGTAGCATTTTCACAAAAGATTTGTCTTTGCCAAAATTTACATCTAAAAGCAGAAATACATGGAAAAAAAAGAATTGCTGATTCAGCAATTCAATTGCTAAAAACAGTGAGTGCAATGTTTCAACGTAGATTTTACAACAAAAAAAATGCTACTTTAACCACCCCCGTGGTTAAATTAGTTTACTATGTGGTTAAAGTAGCATTTTTTTGTTGTAAAATCTGCGTTGAAACATTGCACTCACTGTTTTTAGCAATTGAATTGCTGAATCAGCAATTCTTTTTTTTTCCGTGTAACAATAAAAATTACCGGCAATGTTACACAATCCTAAAAATAAGCTGATCATCCAATTTTTTTCTTCTCCTTCTTTGTTCAATATTTTATGTTTCAAATTTCTATCAAAAATTGCAATTATTCCACATCATTTCCCTTGTTGAATTCAACCAATGCATGTTTCTTTCAGTCCGGCCTAACTCCATTACATGTAGCAAGTTTCATGGGCGCAATGAACATAGTAATTTTCCTGTTGCAAAATGGTGCTAATCCAGATATTCCAACGGTGCGTGGAGAGACACCTCTTCACCTTGCCGCTCGAGCAAATCAGACTGATATCATTAGAATTTTATTAAGGAATAATGCTCAAGTAGATGCCAGAGCAAGGGTGAGTACTCTTATCTTTCTTTTCTATCCATTTTTAAGTCAAGTTTTTAGTGGTCATTTTTATCGTAAGGAGGCCATAGATTTGCAGTGTATTTTTAAAGTGACTTTTTGACTTACCTTATGAAAAATTATGAATTTTCATTTATTACACCTAACAAGATCATTCAAATCAGAGTTTTTTTTTTCTAATGAAATTTTGTGTCGAATTATTTTATTTTCCTTTAGTCTGTTTTTCATACGTTTCAGAACCATGTTCGACAATTTGAGGGGCAATGATGCATAGTAGAAACTTTGAAATTGTTTGCCCTTTATTGATGTGGATGTTTTTTTGTGTGGTTTACAAATTTTTTTATCTGTTTATTTAGATATTAATTTGGTTATTATATACTGTCATAACTAGGAAGTTTCATCATCAAGGCTCATAAAGTAGGTCATGGCTCGGAGCTTTTTTTCAAATTGTATAGTTTTTGTAAGGAAACTGTGCGAACCATTTCTTAATTTGTAACATTGTAGGGACAGATGGGGGTCTTTACTATCGCTATGCAGTTTTAGAGAGGGGGGCCAGTGTTGAGGGAACTGCTATTCAATTTTTCATAGTGATTTTTCATGTGTTTTTCAAGTCTTTTTGTATCCAACGGCTTGTATGAATAGTTGACCTCTGCACGAAGGACGCATCTCAATTGGGCTGTTCCAGTATTTCTTACTAACAATTTATTTTTTATATCAAAACATTCACATGAATTAGCCCGAAACATTCAGTAATTTTTTTCCCTCAATTTTTAAGACAAATTCGTTTGACAGTTTTCTCATAACATAAAAATGTTCCTAGAAATGCTGAAGCGCAAACTAGATAGGTTCCTTGGTGTAAGAGACTACGCATTGTGTGAGAAAAAGACAAAGAATATGTAGAGATCCCAGCCCATTATTGTCTCCTAGTTATTATTTTATCAATCATAATAGTTCTGCTCCTTCAAATTGTAACCGCAATCTGTTAATACTCTGAATGTAACTGCCATCAAATATGTACTAGTTGCTGAAAGTTACGTATTTAAATGGTGTTATTAACATAATTATTTTCTTTTCAGGAACAACAAACTCCTTTGCACATTGCATCTCGCTTAGGGAATGTTGATATTGTGATGTTGCTTCTCCAGCATGGAGCCCAAGTAGATTCTACAACCAAAGACCTGTACTCAGCGCTGCACATCGCCGCAAAGGAAGGCCAAGACGAGGTAAAGTACCTTCTTGGTCGTTGTCTCACCCAACGAATAGACACTACCTACATCATGGATAGGTTTTGGTCCTTTGACCCCGAGGTTTTCATTTAGTCACCCTTATTCTCTTTGGTGTTTCAGAACTGAAGACTTAGTGTTAAAGCACTCATCAAAATGTCAGTGATGAAGCAACATTCAAAGTATTGAAGGAGAGAATCTAAGTTGTAAACCAAGATCTCAAATCGCTGATAAAGTCTAGGATAAATAATCAAGTTCTTTATTGCTCTGCCGTAGAAAGTTTCATGCTGAGAGTCTGTTTGTAAGAGTGTTCTACCATAGGCTATTGAGACAAATGACAATAATAACGAATAATTTTCCCTCAAATTCCTAGACTAGTCGCGTCCCATTTTAGAATAAGTTGACAACTCATTTCCTACTCTTTCACCGAAAAAAGTCTGTTTTCCAATTGAGCCACCCGCTGGATAATACTGTAATGATATTTATATCCCACCTTCGACCTTATTGCAGATATTAGATTTGAGCTATTTACGATTATTATGCTCACTTTTCTATCTCCTCCCCCCCCCCTTCGCTCCTTAAAGAAAAATTTAAAAAAATTTACGATGAATAGTGTTGTTGCTTCTTAGAGGTGTTGCCAATTCTCTACCCTGCATTTTTGCACTCCCACTTTTATTTCTTCCTGGGTACATTGTGCTCTTCACATCTCAAAAACTGTGGCAGACAAGTATTCAGGAGAGATTGGCCGAGTGAGTTTAGGATGTCTTCATGAAATGATGCCTTTTTCTTTGAAAACTCACAATTTTAGTTAACAGTTGGAAGATCTCAGCTAATTTTATGGGATCGGGGATTTTGTTCTCAAAGAAAACTTGCTTGATTGCAATAAGCGACCAGCATTAAGAACCTTTTGCACCTCTGCTTATGCTGATCACTTTCTTTCATCATCTATCCCAAATGATTAAATGAATAAAATGAGGAATGAATCATCTGTCCCAAAATGGGGAATATGATTGCTCCTTACCTTTCTTTTCAATTCTTCCTAGATTTTCTCACTGAGCATAAAAAAAAAAAAAAAAACCAACAACAACAACAACAACAACATTGGACGAAACTACGCTAGTTAAATAAATATCTGTACAGTTAAAAATATTTTGCCATATAGAATACTTCTTCTCTGACCACTTTCTCTTTCTTATTTACTGTGTATATCTATCCATTCTTCTATTATCTATCAATCCTATATCTCCACTATCATATCAAATTGTCTCTAATAGTTACCGTTAGTTTTGTGATGGGTAGTTGTAATTTAAAGTTTCCTACGAATGTCAGCAAATGAGTAATCATTCGAGTATCAAAAAACTTTTTTTTTAACTTCTGCTTTACGATGCTCTGGCTCTAGATTAAACTGTTGGATTAGAGTAATTTTGGTGCTAACTGAATCTTCCCCTTTTATCATGGAATGGTGTAATCATTTGTTGAGTTTTATCTCTATTTTTTAAAGAAACAAAAAATAATAATAATAATTCCCTAGTAACTACGTTGACCTTTTATTGTTACGTTATTATGTTATAATTTTTTACTGATATTGTTACTGGATTGAGTATCTTCTAATTAAATTTTTATTTAATTCTATCTCTTCTCCTCCTTTCTTTCTCATCTAAACTATCATTTTAGACCCCTCTCCATCCTTGATCTCTCTCTCTCTCTCTCCAATCTGTAATGATTCTAAATAATAAAAACCCCTTCGCAAGAGGTTTAGGTAACCTAATCCAACCCTATTAAATTGTTTGTATTGCATACCAATTCCAGAAAGTAGATTCTTTGCAAATTTAAATTAAATCCAAATTTCTAGTTTCTTTTCTTTTCTTTTAAATATATATTTTCATTTTTTATTTTAGTAACATACTCATCAATTCCATGTTGCATTTCTTATTTGCTCTGCTCATGTTTTTATTCTCCTGATAAAGTCATAATGCAGGAGCTCATAAGTTTTCTCTTTCTACATATGTGAAGAATGAAGATTTTCTTCGATTTTTAAGATAGTTTTTTTCCTTCTAAAATGAACTATCATCCCGTTTTTTTCCTCTTAAAATGAACTATCATCCCCTTTTTCTTTGTTAGCTTCTGAATCTATCCTTCCAGGTTTCTCATTTACTACTCGACTAAATAGCTCCTCCAAAATTGAATGCTACTTCTGAGAACCATTTTAAAGCTGTCTAAGTAATCAGAAATTGATGTTCAGGATTTGTGTGACCATTACTTTTTCCTTGAGAGAACAGAAAATCCTTTTACACTGTTGCACACTGTAATCGTCTAGTACAGTTTCATATTTTTTGGGATCAATCAAAAAACGAAGAAGCCAAAAAAAAAATTTGAAGTAAAATAAAGCTTCAAATTTGATACCAAGTGTGAAAAAATGAATTTAGCGAAAGTTGAGTTAAGAGAGGAAGATAGACAATGCCTTTGTGCCGAGAATAGCAAGAGAAATCCGATGGTATGGGAGTGTCAAGTGGATGTAAATCAAGGGTAGCACAGAGGAGAAGTCAGCTTAAATTTTTGGTACGCTCGCTGAAGCTCCGTCAGATGAAAGCTGTTAGTTCAGTGTTTTTTAGTGAATTGAAAGTGACTCTAGCTAGAAGGCGATGAACATGGCCAGGGAGTCAAGGGATGTGACCAACGTCTAAAAAATGACGGAGGTAAGATTTTAAGCTGGCTTCTAACCCCTGTGTGGCCTTTTATTTGGACTGGATTGTTTTAACTTTTGTCCCTGGTTCCGCAAGCATCCTCCATGAATTATTTCATCTCCAGTGCTTTTATTTTTAACTTCCTATTTTAAGTTTGGTAAATTAGTGGTGGAACTAGCAAAACTGGTTAAGTTATCATCAAACAGAATACTTATCTGAAACAAGCATTGTTTCACTTCGCAATACTAACATTTCACATTCTTATCATTTTAGTGAAAATAAACTTGCAATACTCTCGGAATTTTTGCATGAATTTGACCTGTCTCATCAAATTTGTTGAAAAAATTTATAAAGTAACAGAACAAACAATATATTAGAAGAAATTTTGTATAAATGTTTTTCTCGTTTCACCCTCGCTTTAGTGATTTTTTAACAGTGACTTTCTTGCTTCTGCCCCCCCGAATATTTTTTAGCGTGTAATGAAGTTATGAGAAATAGACTAAAGTTTTTTTATAGATACGTTGATGCATTTCACGAATAAAATTTTACTGTCTTGATATTATTAGTTTAATCCTGCTTTGCTAGCAATTTTATTGAATTATGTTTATTCGAGTTTTTTTTTTTTACTTTCTAATCTCTACCTGATTCTATATTTTAAAATTTATTGAAAGTCGAAACAGTTTTTATCACCTGTGAACATTTATTTGAATAAACGAAAAGCACGATAAGAGCTCCATGTTAATTCGTGACTATCATATACAGTTAATTAGTGACTGTTAAATAGTTATAGATTTCTTTGTTTTTTCATGAATTTGAACCCAATCGTAGATTTCTTTGTAGGAAAAGATCGGTCTGAGTAGGAGCATCATCTTTCTAAATCAATACTTATGTTGCTTATCCTTGTAAATAGATGTTTCTTTCCTCAGAATTAGGGGCGAATCAGCGTACTTGGAGATGAGCTGTTCTCGCCAGCACAGTCCCTTTAGCACTGGTTCTCCACTTGGGAAAGCCCTAGCACTGATTGCTTTAAATATTAAATCTTTCCCAGGCTTGAATTTTGAAAATCGTTCTTTTTCTAAATTAATTTCTCTCTGAATTATCTATTGTTCCTTCTCCTTTCTCTCTTATTCTTTGAAATCATTAACTTTACTTTTTTTGCAACTAACTTTAAAAATCCAAAAGAACTTAACATGTTGACAACTTTAAATTCATCAAGACCTTTTCTTGTCATTGAAATAGTAAGATTGTTGCTCTTTTGAGCCTCCAAAAAAGACTACTCTGATTAATTGTCTCTTGTTTTTGTTTGCATCTGTGAATGACTGTTTTTCCCTGCGACCCAATGCCACCTTCCTTTTGTGTCCGTTTATTACTCACTTTGAAGTCAGCTTAATGTGTCTCCTCCTTGATTTCTCGTTAATTTCGTTGTCCTTGAATTGTGTATCGTTAAAAAACTGGAAAGTTAAAATTTGATACATAGGAGGTACTCAAAGAGCAATTCCATATCTTTTATTACTAACCAAAATGTTCCCTCAGCTCTCATTTTTGGCTTTGCAGTTTTTATTTCTTTAGCATGTTTGACATATCATACTATGTTCAACAGTAAATGCAGTATGTGCAGTAGATGCAAACTTTCGCTAGAGTAAAAATAAGAGTCATGTCTATCTGTAAATGTCTCAAAAATCATGATGAGCGCATTAGCAAAGTTTGAAATGTACTCCTAAATTTACAATCTGCGCAAGAAACTTGCGTTTTTTTGAGCTTCCCGCCTCAAAAACGATATTACGGCACAAGTGAACAATTCGTTAGAGGAGTCGTTCTATCCAACCCCTGTGCACTAGGATACTACACAATTTTCAACATGGCCAACCTCGATCTGCCAAAACATATGTGCTTGGACGAGATGCTAACCATTTGTTAACATTCAAGATTTCTTCTTGTTGATAAATATCGGCTTCGGTTAACCTTGTGCTTCTGATTGCGATTTGCGCGCAGAAGTGTTGGCTATGTTGGGTATTGCTATTGCGAGAGGGTTGATTGGAACGGCTCCTTTAACGGAATTTCACCTATGCAGTAGGATCGTTTTTGAATCGGGAAGCTCATGAAACGCAAATTTCTTACGCAGATTGTAAAGTTAGGAGTGCATTCCAAACTTTGCCGATGCGCTCATCATGATTTTTGAGACATTTGCCGATAGGAACTACACTTATTTTGGCTCTAGCAAAAGTTTGTATCAGGCTCATCGCAATGAACATTTGGTCACAGACATATTATGCCACTCTGTGAGTTTTCTTTTGTTGGCTTCAGCGTTTCGTTGAATCATCCACTTTTCTCCTCTTTCTGCTTCACTCACTCTTGTAGAAAAAAAAAAGGAAAAATAGCGTCAAATTTACTTTTTCAGAGAATGGTCTCCTTCAATGAAATCATGTAAATGAGGAATTATTCTGGTGAAACAAAAAAGTCTTAATAAATATAAGTAGAGGTAGGAAGAGAAAGTTTTAAATCTAAGTAAAATCCGACTCTTTATGTTGGCTCTGAGTTTTTAAAAATTGAAAATCTTGACGCAGCTGCGCAATTGCAGAAAAAAATTAAGATTGAACAATTAACATTTCCTCCTCTCCTTTTTCAGGCTGCTTTGACAATTATTGCATAATTATAAGAAGCAGAAAAAAATCCAGGTTTTTCTTTAAAAAATTCCTAATATTTTTGCCAGATACTTTACAAAATTATTTTCAGTTGACTATGAAGTGAATTTTTCTCATCAATCTCTAGGAGAAACCTCTGTGAAGAATAACAACATTAATTTTTTTTTTATTTCTGTTCATCAGGTTGCATCAATTTTATTGGATAACGGTGCCTCTTTGAACTGCACTACGAAAAAAGGTTTCACGCCATCTCATCTTGCAGCCAAACATGGACACATGAAAGTAGCAAGTCTTTTACTTCAGAAAGATGCCCCAGTAGATGCTCAGGGAAAGGTATAAAGTTTTTGATGATTTTTTTGTTGAGTTTTTGTCAAATTTTTTAAAATGAACAAAGCTATAGCACGGTTAAAAATAGAATCAAAATGCTATATCTTCATCCTCTGTTGATTAAGCTTAAACATGATAGCAACAGCTCTCCTCTTTAAGGAAACAAAATCAAAATAAATTTAAGCTTGAAGGTTTGTGATAGCCTTGAAACTCAGATTCTAAACTCTACAGCCACAGTAGATGATGTCATACACTATGTTTTTCAAAAATCGATATCTTTATTGACATTGAACGTAGAAACTACCTTCTTGGAAAGATCTTATTATTGTTATTAGCTAATTTACATGCTTAAACCATCACAATGCAAATCTGTGGCTAGTGCAACTGATCAATTTTTTCTTCACAGAAAATATTTTAAGTATGTACTCTGAAACTTTTATTGCGGTTTTTAAGACATTTTTGAATCTCATGAAAAAATGCTACACACCCGGTGAAAAAAAGAAGGAGAAAATCAGCTCAGGTATTGAGACTGACAGAATTGTTTCAAGGGTTCATTTATTTTCAATTTCAGAATGGTGTGACACCATTGCATGTAGCCAGCCATTATGATCATCAAAATGTCGCATTACTTCTTCTGGACAAAGGAGCTTCTCCTCACGCTACAGCCAAGAATGGCCACACTCCCATCCATATTGCAGCTCGCAAAAATCAGGTACACTATATACTCTAATCTATTTTTTCGTGTACTCTCCTCACGAATATTCTTGAGTTTTAGTTAAATTTGAACTCCTCCTCATAAGAAAAAGGCAATTTTTAAATGTGTGGAAGTCTTTTTTTTCCACGAAGGGAAAATGTTTAAAATAGGGCATAAAATACATAAAAAATGATTTTAGTTAAAATATCTGTCCATTAGTTTTTATCATTCGTCATTTTTAGTTTTTGTCGTGTCTTCAAATTGTCTTCATATTTTAACTTCTCAATTGTTTATTAGTAAATTTATTTAAAGCATGGTTCATCCAAAAAATGTATGTATTTTCTCTCTTTTACAAAATATTTTAAATTGTCCCTCATTCGTATCACTACAGTTTGTAAAACATATCAGAAAAACATTTTTTTTAAAATCATCAAGACAAATTTAAGGTATGAAAACCATGGCATTTAAGAGTAAATTTTACAGCACCTGCTTTCTAAAACACCCAGAGACTAATTCAGTTGATCAACTCATGTGTTTGAAAAATGCGATTGTATAAGAAGAATATCTGAAGTATTCTTGCCACTGGTGCGGTTGTCAGCTATCATGAAAAGCCATTTAAAATATTTCAGAACGGATTTTTAAGTTAAAACATTTCATATTCTTGATCCTCATCACCCTTCTGAAAAGAGTGCCTAGGAATGGATTTTCATTAATACCCCACCTATGAGGTTCTTAAACTCCAACTTACTGACTTCTTATGAGTTTCTTTATTGCTCACACTCTCGATGAATTTAAGAGTGCGCACCAATGTAAGTTCAACCTAATTTTTGGGATTTATCTGCTATCACCACTTATTGAGTGCCGAAAATTGTATGTGTGTAAATTTACCTTCTCATTTTATTTTAGATGGATATTGCCACCACTTTATTAGAATATGGAGCGAAAGCTGATGTAGAATCCAAGGCTGGATTCACGCCACTCCATCTGAGCTCTCAAGAAGGTCACTCTGATATGTCCAGTCTTCTCATAGAGCATCATGCTGACGTCAATCATAAAGCCAAAGTAAGTTGTTCGTCTTCATATTGTTCCCTCACAAGCTTCTCCAACTGTCCAGAAAACATGCTTATCATGTGACTGCCACAAATGGCATGTGAACCCATATTATGATGAAACTAAAACTATCTTTTAGATGGGAACATCATGAGTCTTCCAAGATCAGTTAGTTGAGATTTTGACTACCAACATGTAGTTGCAAAACTAAACACATTCAGAAGAAAGTATGTAATTTCAAACTGGTGAGCATCCTTGAACAAAGAAAAAATGTTCTTTTCTACCAAAACATAATATCTAGCCCTATGTCACTCAAAGTTTCAGCAACAAACAACAGCTGAACTGAAGTACCGAGATTGAGAATGCCATATGTATTTTTATACTGCAGAGACTGTCACAGTAACTTGAGCAATTTAACTTAAGTAGATTATGGTTTTTTCATGAGTGGAAAGTTGAAATTTATGCAACAAGAAACGTTAATATTTATGCTAATGCACAAAAGTACCTTGTCTAGGACTTACTTTCAATAATATTCGTCACTTTTATTGTATTATTCAGGAAATTTTCATCTCAAAACACTTGACATAATGCTTTAACTCGCACTTTTTTAGAGGCTCGTTTGATAATGAGATTGTTTACCACACTTAAAAGCCCATTTTCAAACAGCAAAATCCTTATTGTTCACTTGCCTATGATTATTAATTCTTTTTACTTTGATTTCAGAACGGCCTAACCCCACTTCATCTCTGCGCTCAAGAAGACAAAGTCAATGTCGCTTCGATTTTAATCAAAAATGGAGCTGAAGTCAATGCTATCACGAAGGTAACTTTGAAATAGTTTTTCTTCCCTTCTTAAAGATATTTGTCTTCTTCTGTGAAGACTTTGCATTAAGGCAGTTCAACATCCATAGTTTTACCTTTTTGAAGCAGGGATAGCAAACAAAGAATCTATTAGTTGTTGGTTGAAATGACTCGCATAGTTGGCTGGTGTCTCAGAAGTATTTAGGCATAGACATTACAAACTTTTTATTCAAAGATACAGAAATTCAAGTGCTGTGCGCCAACACAAAAAGTGACACATTTCTAATATTGACTCCAGCTGATACTTTTTGCTTTAAGGTATTATGATGTCACAAGATGAAGCACATTTTAGAATTATTTTTGGCCTTGATCACCTAGATGACAATGCGGCCTACAGTCTGATCTCACTGATACCGTTTGACTTCACCGTCATAGCGTATTATCTTTATATGTAAGTGTCTCAAATTTATCAAATAATGCTTTCAGACTGGATTTACCCCTCTGCACGTGGCGAGCCATTTTGGACAATTGAACATGGTTCGACTCCTACTGGCACATGATGCGGACCCGAAAATAACAACAAACCTCGGTTACTCCCCGTTGCATCAAGCGGCACAGCAAGGCCACTCTACTATCGTAGCTATTCTCCTTGACAATGGAGCTTCACCTAATATTGTGAATCATGTAAGTGGGGTCTTGGATTTTTTTTTTACGTGTCAAGGGTAAAAGCACCATTTACTGAACTTGTTAGGAATCATTGAAAAATCCAGTAAATTCAAACATCAGCGCTAAATTTGAAATCTGATACTTAACAAAATTATTCTTTATGTGATCAGCATCTATTGTGAAGCAAATTTCAGGAATCAGCTCTAGAATAGTATAAAGTACATTAGTTGACACTTGCTTTTGCTTTTTTTTTTTTTTTTCTGATTTTATCCGTGTATTCATCTGTAGACTGAATTCCTCGACATAGACAACTGCCTGTAAATACCCATCTAGTGACTTTCTATAGCATTGGTAAGAGGATAATGAAGATAAGATTGAGAGGAACACAACATCTGGTACCCAAATTCCTCATATTCACAGTCAATCTTATCTGGAACACTGTAGGTATCCTAGGTTACAGGCACATTGCAACAGCAGCTGGCCAAGATGGTTTAAAGCTGGGTACCTGCTTGAACATTTCTGACGCGTTAGACATATAATTCTATCACTAGAAATTGCTGCAAAGCTAGCATAATCTCTCTATTGCATCTTTGATAGGCACTATATGTTCAGCTTTATGATTAACTTGCAAATAGTAATCTTAGCCTCTGGTAGCTCAATAAATTACATCTTGGAAAAGTTAGGTCACTGCAGCCAACTGGGTCTCCATGATGGACTTCAAACGGAAGAACTGAAAGTTTGAACTTTCTTTGTATAACTCATAGTTCTCATTACAGTATTTTGTTTCTTTGATTTCAGCAAGGACAAACAGCATTATCAATCGCTCGAAAACTGGGATATATAAGCGTTGTGGAAGTTTTGAAGAAAGTGACTGATGCCCCAGACAATCAGATACAGATCACAGCGACTGACGAGAAGTACAAAGTGGTCTCGCCAGAGACAATGCAAGAGAACTTCCTATCTGATTCCGAAGATGAAGGAGGTAAGTTTCGAAGAATTTTCACCTTGTGTTCGTCTCGTCTTTCACTTTTTCAGTATTATTAGGAGAATGATGCAGTGCTCTCTGTCACTGCCTTTCCTCATTCTCTATCTCTTCAATAATGTATCATCACTCGAACACTTTAAATTTTTTTTGGTTTTTGTCCTCTATTTTATTTTTTCTCTTATTATGTTTTGCGTAAAATGCTGTGCTTGAGAATTTTTTTCATTTTGTGAGATTTAGTTTTTGTTTTTTTTGAAGTGTGCCGTTTCTTATGCAGAGCAATGGAGCACCCTTAAGAGGTATTTAAGAAGTATTAAAGTTGACGCAGTAAGTACAGGGTATTCCAGAAGCCTGGACCCCCTCTTGAGGTTAACTCTTGAATGGTTGCAGTTGGAGAGTTAAAATTTTGAGTATATTCTTTAATCAAGGAACCCACTTTATACCACTGTTTTAATTGAAGGATACGTCCAGAAATTTTAAATCTCCAATTGCAGTCCCTCACGGTTAACCAGGGGGTCCAGACTCTTGAATTGCCCTGTGTAATGAGGTAATTCCAAAAACCATGCATTGAAAATTGATCCCATTATGAGTCAGTGAGAATTACAGGCCCCTGTGGATGGCCTGGACTGGCAGATAACTTGGACCTCAATTTTTGTCTCTCATGGTATTTATGGAAGCTTCAAGTGCAGTGCAAAATTTGAGAACATAAAATTAGAAAGTCAGTGCAGGTTTTATATGGGCGCCTATGGTAAACTTTGGTGATTTAGACTTTTGCAAGAAAGTTGATAAACTCATTATGCGCTTTTGGGGTGCACCATTGAATTTGTAAAGCTACTGCAGTTTAATTTTTGAATTTTGCTGCTAGCTTTGTATAGCACTGCCTGCTGAGCAGGTTTTTGCTGTTGTGTGAAAGTAGCATCTGAGAGTGTGTGCGCGTGTATAGTCTTGTTCATTTATTATAATTTTTTTTTCAACTACACGACTCAATATTCAAGCCTTAAAGGTGCTGTCAGACTAATGTCACTGGAGGCAAAATAAGGCTACCTTTACGAGCTTCCATCTAATTTTGAAGAGTCCTAACTAGTATCCACTCAACTGTAAGAAAGACCCTATGAACACACGGTAAGAAAGAATGTCTTAAGTACTGGCCCCTTTGTCTGTAAGTTACAGCATATCCTGAAGAAGTTGCTGTTATTTTTACATCATAGATGCTTCCAAAAAATGGCCCAATTGCCCATTATGTAGTTAAAAGTTCGTCACATCCTCTCCCTATCTAGGCCATGAGAGAAGAGCGAGAGGACATGGCTGCATACTACTCAAGAAAATAATTTTGAACAGCCTTTTACATAACTTACGTCGTAGCTTAAAACCAAAGCAAAACAAGCAAACCAATTATGCTGCTAGAATCGGGCGTAAAGATTATTCAAGTTTTTACCCTGATTCTTTAACTTACAGTGTCAATGTTACAAGTGAGATGAGTGTATAATTTTCAAACCATTAGGTCTTCTTAACCTCCGCTGGTTTTGAATCGGGCCTGTAGTATGCTCATAACTAGGCCCCTCTTTCTTAAAGAGCTTGATGCAAAAACGGCTTTTTTCGCCCCCCCTCTGGAAGTTCTTCAGACTTTGTCTATTGATTACTCATACTTGAGCGCTTCTTTTCCAAAATTTTCAGACCCCCAAAAAATTTTGGGGGGGAGCTAGGGGGGGTGGAAGTCAAAACCTGTGAACCTCGATATCTCTTGAACAAAGAAAGATATCAAGGTGCGGTTTGGACGAAAAATCGTCTAAAATTGCATACTTTAAGATTCTAAAGGTCGAAATCCCGATATCACATTTTTAAGTCAACATATGTGCTTCTTTCCAGTTTTTAGGTCTAGAAAATTTCTTTTAAACGAAAAATTTACAAAGATCTCAATTTTTTATTTGAACCAAAACCAGTTTTTTAAATTTTTCGTCTTTTTCCGCATCCAACGAGTGGTCCATTAAGCTGGGGAACCAAACGGTTCCGGAGTTATGATCGATTGAAGTTTCCGCTCAACGCGCGCCGACCGATTTTCGCGCGCAAAAAAGTCGGATTTGACTGTTATTAGATCAGATCGAATGTTCAAACTGAGCAAAATGCTTTATTAGGGACTCTTGAGGGTCGCTGAATTCAGAAATTACCGATACTTCCAAAAAATTCACGTTTTTAAAATTACAGCTCCGCAGCGCTATTTAAGAGGCCCACTGAGCGCCGACCGGCCGCTCAGTGGTCCTGTCCGAAGCTGCAATTTTAAAAACGTGAATTTTTTGGAAGTATCGGTAATTTCTGAATTCAGCGACCCTCAAGAGTCCCTAATAAAGCATTTTGCTCAGTTTGAACATTCGATCTGATCTAATAACAGTCAAATCCGACTTTTTTGCGCGCGAAAATCGGTCGGCGCGCGTTGAGCGGAAACTTCAATCGATCATAACTCCGGAACCGTTTGGTTCCCCAGCTTAATGGACCACTCGTTGGATGCGGAAAAAGACGAAAAATTTAAAAAACTGGTTTTGGTTCAAATAAAAAATTGAGATCTTTGTAAATTTTTCGTTTAAAAGAAATTTTCTAGACCTAAAAACTGGAAAGAAGCACATATGTTGACTTAAAAATGTGATATCGGGATTTCGACCTTTAGAATCTTAAAGTATGCAATTTTAGACGATTTTTCGTCCAAACCGCACCTTGATATCTTTCTTTGTTCAAGAGATATTCGAGGTTCACAGGTTTTGACTTCCACCCCCCCTAGCTCCCCCCCAAAATTTTTTGGGGGTCTGAAAATTTTGGAAAAGAAGCGCTCAAGTATGAGTAATCAATAGACAAAGTCTGAAGAACTTCCAGAGGGGGGGCGAAAAAAGCCGTTTTTGCATCAAGCTCTTTATATCAGAGCTGATATTTTTCAGCACTGGTCTGAATTTTGGTTTATCATCTATTCCCTAAAATGAATGGAAAGAAAATGAAAATGCTTCGATGATAAACCAAGCAAAATGAAGCTACCTTTGTACAAAGTTACTCTCCTTATCTGAGCATTCCAAATTATCCACTAGGCTTTTGCAAGTAGAAAAGAAATTTAACTATTTTAATTAGAAAAATAGCAGCAAACTCTTTGATATTTTTAGTTTTTTGTCCAATTTATCACAATGATTTTGAAATAATTTTAAATGACTCTTTATTGCAGTTGTGTACCTTAGGTTTATTTGGACAATTTTTTACATAACCATGATGGTAGAATTTTTCTATTGGATTAACTTGAATTTGATTTACATCTCCCAATCCTATAAAAATGACTACCTTCTGTTTTTTATTTTATAAAATTTTGTTTGCTTAACCTCCTCCATTTTACTTACTGTTTTTTCTTGAATCTTTTAAACTTCCTTCTATTGTATATCCAAATTTCCATCCAATAAAATTTCTAATTTTACATTTTTGCCACATTAGTAGTACACATTCATCCGTAAATATATATCATTAAACATGTATTAATAATGGAGTTGAAATTTCACAGTCTTTGAGTTTCAGACGTAGTAGAGTGGCAAAGGAAATATTATCCCCCTTTGGATTAAACTTTCCTTCTTTTCGTTTGAAGTTTTTTTTTCCCCCCTCATAGGATCCAAGAACCACTTTGAAAACTTTGTTTTTTTTTCTTTTTACATGTAGCGCACTTGATTTTAGTTTGTGTTAGTGTTGACACTGTGCATGTTGTGTGTGTACATCAGGTGACACTTTTGGCATGAGTGGACGCCAGCCTTTTGCTCCTTTTGCCCAGCACATATATTTACCCTATTTTCAGGGAGATATCCTTATCACACGTAAGTAACACTTCATCCCTTCTTCTGTTTTACTCATATCGCCCTTTAAATATTCATGAGTTGGTTTTTGCACAAATTAAGCTTCGTGCTGCAACATAGATCAGTAAAAAAAAAAGGTTATGTTGAGTCATCATTGACAGATGTCAGGTAGTTTTTGAAAGAGTTTGGTTGGAACCGAGAAGCCATGGCTCCGATAGCATTTTTATAGACTAAGCTTCAGCTGCTGTAAATTGAAAAAAATAAAAAGACTGCTAGAAATTTCCAAGATATTAATATTATTCCTGTAAGTAGTTTGATAAAAACAAGGAAGATAAACTTAAAAAGATAACTGTTCTATTTCAATTTTCCTCAAAAGAGGCTGTTCTCATATCAGTGACCCCATCATTACTGTCCATTCAAGTATACATCTAATAAACCTACTGTTAAAATCGTAAAATAAAATCTTACACTCATAATCTTTGTATATCAAATCAAGTAAAAAAGCAAAACGTGGCCTCACTGTTGTCTCCTCCTGTTGAAACTTATTAATAATTAAGGCAATCTAGCCACTAATTAAACGATCATTTATTGAAAATTAAATAATTAATAGCCTCCAATAAATTCCCTTGGTAGGAATGTGAGGCTAAAGAGGGGAAGGGGAGGAGAAGGGTATATGCCTCACTTTCTACCTTGTACTGGTTCTCACATGTAGCAGTCACCTCAAAAGGTGAAAGGTAACTGAAACCAAAACAAACTCTGAGCTCAAAGAATTGTTTACCTTGCATGATGTGAGGTTGCCGTAGCAACCTGCTAGGGTTTGGGGGTGCTTGCCTGCCTCAAGTGAGTCTTCCAAGAATTGGGTGTGGTAGTCGAACTCTCTCAGGGGTGTCCCTTTCCTCCCTCCACTTTCATTCATTAAATGATTGATGTTCAGAATTGAAACCTTTGACTTATGTTTTTTAAACCATCCCCATTATTTATCTCCTATTGATTTTCTTCGGCCACCCTTCGCACGCCACCGGCTATTTTTACCCAGCCCTTATTTACCTTTTGTATTTGCCACATAGAGGGTCTTGTCTCAGGGGATAGTTTTAGTGCTTTTTTTACAAGTCAATAAAATTTTTATTCTCAAGTCAGGGAAGTTCTGTGATCATCGGTTATTTTTTACGAAGCCTGCCCTTTATTTTGTACAAGCGCCACTTGTTCTTTCAAATGTCTTTCAAAACCTTTTAGAAGTTTCACTCCATAATTAGAACAGTCTCCAAGCTCTACCCTTTTAGTTCATCAAGTATTTTCTCCTTCAAAGTATTTTGTTCTTTTTGGTCCCAAATCGGTCTTATAAATTCAGTATCGCATAGAAAAGTTGAGATGAAGTTTTTCAGACGTAATTGGTATTTTTATATTCAATATAAAGTCTGTGTATGATCATTCAAATCCCAAAATAATTGTTCAGGCTAAACTGTATTAACGTATTTCAAACTCTAGAAAAGTCCATTAATGAAACATTTTCATCTCACACAATTTATCTACATCAATTAGGGGCCTATTTTTGGTCCAGTTTGGATGAGAGTGGAATAGTGTTTATTGGTGCCTGTGCGATACTGTAAGAAAAAAAGAAAAAAAGAACCTATTCACATCTGTTAGATGCTGCACAATACATCGGCTAATATTAAAACCAAAATTAAGTCAGAGGAGCACCAATAGTTGGCATGGTTCCAACTTGGTTTTGCAACTGAGCAGTTCTCATCGATTCTGTGTGCTATAAATAGATCCCTAAAACATGAAATAATCTTCTTCCCGCCTACATGTTTACATCAGAGTGTACACTCTGAGAGTAACTCCTGCTCACTTTTATTGATGTTTCTTCCTCTCGGTTCCCGATCGACAGCTCAGATTCGGTAATGATTTGCGCACATTTTATTGTCTCTTGCCCGGTTCTCGTGGAGTGCGACCATCCTTGAAGTGCTAGGCTCAACAAATTGAGTTGACCTTACCCTGTGTGCGTTTGGTGTGACAAGTCTCAGTCATTTTTGACAAGTTGATGTTTTGAAAGTTTTAAAATGTGCACGCCGTGTCTAAAGTTCTCATGCTGCAACAAGCAGTTGAAGGAGAAACAGGAAGGCTTCAAAGGTAGATTCTTCTCCTGTTTCTTGACTGTTTAATCATGCCAGCAAAACAGTATTTTAGCTTCATATGCTTAGTTTCTCTTATTCTGTTTTAGAATGGATGAAATAAATGAGGTTTTATAGCAGACTACCGTTTCTCCCCGTATGGTGGGTTGTCGGTAGTACAATCTGTCAGATTTGTTTAGATATATTGTACAATCAACTGCCTTAAACGGAAGATGTCCACAATCAAAAGCTAGACAAATCTGTATCAATAGCTTCTTTGATAATTCTGACCTGATTCCTGGTGGTTTCAATAACCCATGCTTCTTTGAACATGCTCACTATTGAATTAGCCATGTAATAAGGAGACCTATGGAGGCTATGCTTCAAGGGACGCTTATGTAAATAACTTGCATGACGAATGAGCCTACCCAGAATTCGACTGTATTTGTTATTTCAGTTAAATCAAATAAATGCACAAAGAATTCTATTGCCTTTTTAAGGTTTTGCCATTTGAATGCACCATGAAAATAGCTATGAGGAGGGGGGATGGCAGTCAAAAGAGGCCCAATCTTTATCAGTTGTGCTGCTGCAGGAGAATATTACTTGGTTTCAAATAGGAAGCCTTGGTTGTTAAATGTTTTACGTAAACCAGTTTTCCCTAATTTTCAATTTCCTCTTGAAGTTTTGGACATGAAACCCATTTTTGTTTAAAACTACTTCATTTTTTCAATGTCTTTTGAGTGAGATTGGAAATCTAACGTTTGTAACTGCAAAGCCGAATGTTCTATCAGAGTGTTAATTCAGTTTTTTAATGACAACTTCAATTAAAAGCATTAAATTGTTGAAAATTTATCTGATCTATTTGTCTTTAGTTCAAATTTAATGTAATGGAATGTTTGAGTTTTTATCATGCAGGCTCTTCTCCTTTTTCTGACCCTCTTTCATCGCTGAACATAAGTCATTTCTCACATCTATCAATGTCTTCCTTGGATAACTTTTTTTTTTTTTTTTTCCTGTAAGAAAATTAAGTCAATCGAACCCAGAGTCTTTCATCAGCCATACAATTATTCAAAGAAATCAAAATCACTCCAAAGAGTGGGGAAAGTGCTGCTGCAATACATTTGTATTGCCCGTTGATTTTAGGTTTTGTGCTCTCATGATTGAAGAAAAGTCTCCTCCGTCAATTGTTAGGGGAGGCATTTGTCTCTACATTCAGACTTTCCATCATCTGAGTGCACTGTTGTATATTTCTACAATATTTTTTCAATGCTGGAGACCTCTGTCCCTCCTCTTAGGCTGCACTTTTGACACCGGAGGAATGCTGATGTGAATTTTGACAACAGCAAATAAACCTATAAAAAAGACGCGTTCAGACAACAGCTTTATGTCTAAAATTGGGACATTTTGAGAGCACCACATATTTTTACCCTCATCAAAAACTTTAATTACTTGAAAATAACAACCATATGTCTCTTCGTATCCAATTATATATTTATCATTTTGAAAAAGTAAACTGATTTTTTTTTTATTATTAGCAGGAAGAATTGCCAGAAGGAATTTAATACAAAATTGTGAAAATTGAATGAATAAATGAAAGGAAATCATTCTCTTTCTCTCATCACTCGCTTGACTTGTGTTAGTCAGTTTTAGCAGTTAATGAAAAGTAAAGAAATTATCCTTACCATTTGACATATTCTCACAAAAGAAATCTACTTTTTTTTAGTGAAAGTAATCGAATAACCTCGAACTTGTGTTTGTACAGATTTTTCCATGTCATAACTACAGAAGTATTACCAAGATATATTTTGTGCTCAGCCCCACCCTTTTTTTCATGCTTAGTTTAGAGAAGCAATGCATAATATAGATCAGAATCATTAGAAATAAATAAATAGACAAGAGTGATATTATTGGAGAACACAATATTGTTTCTTCTAAAGGAAATAAGTCAACCAAGACACAGAGATTTTTTTTATATTATTAATTTAATTTCTCAGCTTTTGATGTAATATGTCAAAAACAAGCATATCTCCTCATTATGAAGCTTCCAATTTTGCATGGCTCATCAAACTGTTCAACTAATTTCTTTCTTTTTTTGCTGCACAGGTGAAGATACAATCCTCAATGAACAGCCTTACCGATACCTGACCGTTGATGAGATGAAGAGTCTTGGAGACGATTCGCTGCCTATCGACGTCACGCGGGATGAGCGGTTCGACTCCAACCTCATGATGGGTCTGTATTATCAAATTTTATCATTAATTAAATTTGTTGGTCTGCAAGAAAAGCCAATGGGCTTATTTTTAAGAAGAGCGATTTTTAATGAATCAAGTGAAAAAATTAAAATTTTACTTTTTGACTGGGAACTTTCTCCAGTATTCCAAAGAGCAAATTTTGAGATTCTAGTTAATGTATGTGTCAGTACAGGGTTTGACGTTTCATTTTAATTAGAGCTGTATAATTAAGGATTTTTAGGTTTGATTAAGATTTGATTATAATTCAAGAAATTACTTAAGTGCATTTACAATTGAAATTCGAAATAAAAAGAAAATAGTGAAAAAATTGACTGCTCTTGCAGTCTGGCTGTGATAGCTCTGGAACACCCTGGACACCATACGATAAGATTAAAATTGACAGCTTCGCTGATTCTCAGATGAAAAGTGGGTATGCGTACCTTATTCTTCCTAAACTGTATCAAAGTCTCAAGTCTGTGTCTCAAGTTAAGTCTGTTCTGACGTTAAATCATTTGTAAGCATGATTAAGTGATTGGTCTGATATTGTTCACTTTTTTCGTCAGATGCTATTTTTTCAAAGGATATAAAGAATGTTTTTTGAAACTTGAATCTCATGTGTGTTGCTATTTTTTGGCAGCGCCTCCTACAGCTATGGACGATTCAATCAGTCCACAACACTCATACAACCAAATGTCTGCGCCAATCGACAATATTGACATCAAACACCAGCCAAACATCGGGTATGCAACATTATTTTACCTAGTTCGTTATTTTGTTGAATTTTAAAATTACAATGTCACAAAGAAAATTCTATTTATCCATTTTAAACTTATTGTATATAAAAAATGAAAACTAGTTCCAACTTTGTCGCCAAATCTGATTCTCAGTTTTTTGAATGACGAATGATTTATGATCAAAATTCTTGTGTGTGCAAATTTTGCCACTAGTGAATTGAAAAGACTAGCATGGAATACCATAGAATTTGGCGCTAGCCGAATTCAATACAATTTGAATTGATGTTCCCTATGACCTCCTCAGCATGGTGAGGTTTTGAAATGAAACTCTCTTTGTGCCAATCTCGAGAAAAGCAGGGCTGAAAAGTGACTTTTTAGGCCTTTCCACACTTGCTCTTGGAAATGTGGAACTTTTGCCTTCTACCTGTGAACACTGTGTTGCTTGCTCTGAAAGTACTGAAAAACAGAGTAAGCTGTAGCTGTTTTAAAATACAGAAGTTTTTTATGAGGTTGAAAGATGATTTTACTAACATTTTAGTCATTGTGTCATTGTTCTGATATATTATAATTGTTTCTGTGTTTTTACCTTACGCTTGCATAGGAAGCTACATTGGAGGAAGTAAGTTATATCGTTTTAAATCCTAACATGATTGCTAGCCTTTCCATTTTTTTTTTTTTTCATTTTCTTAATAAAAAACGTAAAGTTTGAAATAACAACATTTGAGGATTTAAATGAAATTTTTTGAACTCGTTCCGTCATAGTGAGGAATATTTTCTCAAATTTCTTTATTGTTCTGTCATAATTTAAAAAAAGTGTCTCTAGACTTATTTTGAAATAAAAATAGCTTTCAATAGTTTTTATTTTGGTTACTATAGTCGTCAAAAGTTGAATCATCCTTGCAAAGTTGTTGCTGAAGCACTGTAGTGGTGCTGGTGCATTTAGAGTCCTGAAATTTTTCGGTTTTTTTGCCCTTTTAATGTGTAAACAATTTCCTTTTTAAAACTACACGACAATCTAAATATTACAATTTGATACATAGTACACAATTTCAGGAGTACTGCAACCTTCATATGTCTGTTTACCGGAGGTTAAAGAGGTCCTCAATCAGAAAACGAAAGAAGGAATCCGACCAAGCAGAAAAGATGAAAAAGACTTTTGAAGTTTTATGATAATAATCTTCCTTTTTTCGATTAGGGGAAAAGAAGCCAATAGAGTATCATAAGCAAAATCAAACATAATAAAAAATGATAGTAATTGGCAAGATTTAACAAATGTTCTTTTGTTTTCAGTTTCCTTGTAAGTTTCCTTGTTGACGCAAGAGGGGGTGCAATGCGTGGATGTCGCCATAGTGGTGTGCGAGTCATCGTCCCACCGCGATGTGCATCCATGCCAACAAGAGTGACGTGCCGCTATCTTCGCCGAGACAAGCTATCCCATCCTCCGCCATTAATGGAGGGAGAAGCCCTCGCCAGCCGCATCTTGGAACTAGGACCAATTGGTGCAAAATTCCTAGGGTAAGTCACTGGATTTTTTTTTCTTTTTGCCTTGTGATTTTAGATTTCAACCATCAGATAAGGAAAATTGTAAACTAAAGTTTCATCTCCATATCTTTTATTTGCTCATTTAAAAAACCATCTGATCAATGGAAAGCCAAAATAATTGCAGCAGAACGCATTAAAGTTGCTTGTGAATCTCATATACATTTTTTGCAGCTGCCAAGAACAGTTAAAAAAAAAAAAAATGGTTTCAAGTCAGCAAATTCAATGAAAAATCAATGTACTCCTTTTCCGTAATGTAACGTGGAATCTTTCAAACACTCTCTTTCTAGCTCTTTCTTGGCGTCATACCCAATGACCAAATTTTTTTTTTTACTTTCTTAGACAGCCCACCAGGTATGTTGCGAGTACAAATTTCAATTAGGTTTTTCCAAAAAATTTTGATTCGATTTCTCAGCTCGATGAGCTGCAGATGTAATTTAATGATGTAATCTCAAAACAGCTGTGATGTAATTTTCTTGATTTGCAAACATTCAACCTCAGAAAGTCTGTTCTATATTCACTAGAAATCAAAAGATTTAGATGTTAGGTATGTAATTATTACAGAAAACAAATGAAGAATTTCAATTTGCGTAAAATTCACATAAAGGTTTACATTTCATAGAAAGTATTGGAATCCTTTATAGTACAAGGTGACTTTCCATCATGCAGAAAATTCTTAGTCTTCCTATCGTCCAAATTGGCTTTTCGTTTTCAAAAACACCTTTTTCCCTTAAAATTGTTTCTGGAATGACATTCTTTATTTTATATTCTTTCTTTTTACCCTCTCCTCTTACAAATTGCTGCAATTTCGCAGGAAAATCGTGATTTTTACCCTAAGCCGCGTAAGTTTTCCCAACTTTTGGACCTTTTTTCAAAATTCTTTTGGAAGGTTCTCCCATTTTTAAAATCCTTTATGGGGGTCTTCCAATTTTTGAACAAGACTGGTGGCTACTTGTTGGTCGTGTGGTCGAAAAAATTCTACACTTAGGTGGCTTTCTATGCTCAAATTTTACCTGAACAATAAGGATTATCTCACTATGTCTTAGCAATAATTTATTTTTTTATTTTCAGACCAGTAATGCTTGAAGTGCCTCATTTTGGTTCGTTGAGGGGATCTGAACGTGAAATAGTCATTCTCCGTTCTGATAATGGTGAAACGTGGCGTGAGCATACGATTGATAACTGCGATGACATAATTCAGGAAGTTCTAAGTCACAGTTTTGAAAAAGAAGGTAAGCTGAATGAAACTGAAGCCTACGTTCCTCAAATGAGGAAGGCAATGCTGCAAGGGCATGAAAATAAAGTAAATTTAATTTGATGGGGTATGCAATGACCAACTGCCTTGAATTTTTCTTCAATCTTGCTCTGGTTGTGCTGAGGGGCATTAACCATAAGATTTTTAAACAACCAAGTAGCTTTCAAAAACCTATTCCACTAAAAAAATTCAAATTTAATGTATGAGATCCACCATGATAAAAAGTATTGAACATTTCCTAGCTGCCCTTAACAAGATTTTGGTCAGTTTTGAGTACCTGGAAAGTCGGGAAATCCACAGAATAAGTCAGGGAATTTTGCAAGCAGAGAGTCGGCTCAGTAGCTTCAGCTGGTGCCATTCAGAATAGCGCAAACAACTGCCGAGTGCCTTTTGTATCTCAAGAAGAGGAAACTTCATCTTAAACTCAGTAAAAGTTAGTGTGATTAAAAGGGAAAATCAAAGTGAAAGTTTTGCTCGAAGGTCTGGGGAAGTTAGGAATTTCAGAAATTTAAAAGTCAGGGAAAGGCAAAAAATTGAAAAACGAAGAAGTTTTGGAGACTGTACGCTTAGCTGACTTACAAAGTTATAATTTAGTGAGTGGGAAGTGAAGAAGCAAAACATCTATAACTTCTGCTTTTGCGCCTTCTTTCTCGTAACGTCTCAATTCCCTCACATTTTTCCAGTTTATTAAAAAATTAGTTCCAGTTGTGTTTTTTTTTTTGTTTCTTTTCAGTCAGTCGTATAAAGTAAAAATTTTAAAAAAAAAACTTCATTTCTTATCGTTTTATTCTGCATCAATTTATTGCACTGATAGTACAACACATCCATGGTGCATTTCTGAGTGTTATTCTTGCGATCCTCAATAGAAACGTTTATTCAACATTTTCTGAATGTCCCTCATCTTTATATTCTTTCACGACACCACTTATTTTCCTTGTTCACCAAATTTCAAAAACATTTTATACTTGATATTCGATCTTTTATGCATACTGCACCCTTTAGATTCTTAGATAATGTTCTAATAAATGATAATGTTTCGCAATTTAATAGCCAAATATAAAAAAAGAAGAGTTGGAAAATGGCACAAAAATTATATGTAACGGAAACAACTGCAGCAAATTACTCTGTCACTCCCTTTATCTTCAACAAATTGAATATTTGATAAATCAGTGTGTCATTGCTCAGAAACAGTGTTACCCATAAATTTGTGAGTTTAAACACCTCCAAGCATTCTTGAGAAATTCATCTGTACCCTTAGAGGTAAAAACCAAATAAATGTGTCACATTTTCCAAACAAAATAAATATAAAAAAAGAATAGCACATCAGTAAAAATTCTGAAGAAATTTTAGCCACACCTGCAGAGAAGGGAGGTTATGAGGGTTTTCTGCTGCCCAAAGTACTTCAATGAAAGAAAAAATGTCTCAAACCTTTTTATGTAGGTTTCTAATGTTTTAAAACTATCAAACTATCTACGTAATATTGGTGGCCATGTAAGAACATTTTCAAGAATATGAATTCAATCCTCTTAGTATCAAACATCAAGTGAAGACTGTTAGTAGTATAGTATCTGACCATCACAGAATTAAACAGAATAACTTTGTAAGAGAAATGAATGTTAATATTATGTTTTTCTCTCTATCCTCTCACCCTGTCTTGCAATGTTTCAGAACAAACCCAACACGATGATACCACACGCCTTACGCGAATCGTTACAACTGAATTCCCCCACTATTTCGCTGTTGTGTCCCGCATTCGTCAAGAAGTGCATGCCATTGGTCCAGAAGGGGGCATGGTTTCATCCAGTGTCGTATCGCAAGTGCAGGCTGTTTTCCCAGAGGGTGCGCTGACGAAGAAAATCAAAGTTGGACTTCAGGTAAATCTATTTAAACCCCGGAAAAATGCCACCCAGTCGTCTTTAAAAAAGATCACTGTTAATCACATTCCAAAGAAAAAGCGTTTTTCGCTCATTTGGTAAAAATGTCCCTGTACAATGTTGAGAACTTGTCTTTTGTTTTCATCTCTTGAATGAAGGATCTAAGTCTTCAAACAGCTTTCCATACCCTTTCTTGTTTCCTTCTTCATATGAAAAGTGAATTTTGCCCATAACGTGTAGCAACTGAAAATTGATTAATTCTGGTGCATTCATAACCATCCCACAATAGTGGTTTTCATACAAGTTTTTCTCATCAATTTTTCACCAAGTAATGTATTGTAGTATTGCCATTATCATCAGAAGCAACTAATTATTATATCCGCAAAGAACTGAAAATATTCCCTGTTAATTCCAAAAAACTTATTTAGCCTCTCTACCGAGGATAATTTTAACCAGTGTGCTCTGGTTTTAGCATCGAATTGTTTCTATTAATTTCATTTGTGAGTATAGCATCAGTTTTAAAAGATCCATCTGTCAAACCAAGGCATACTTTAAGTAAGTAAATAATTTAATAGAAATAAAATGAGATATTTTACACAATTAATGTTTTCATGGGGGTTATTAAACTTCAGTGAAAATTCATGCCTTTGTTTTGGACAAGTCTCCTCGAACTAAGCAGATTTCTCATGACCTTTATTGGGTGAAGTTACCAGTAGCATTACTTAAAATATTTTTCCATCTTCAATTGCATCAATTGCATCCGCAATGGAATTAGTGTGAAAATTTGTTTCCAATGTGTTCAAAGAAAGGCAAATTTTGCATTTCGCTTAGCACCGTTTAAAAAATGTATCCATCTATTAGTTTATCTTCATCTTCCAATCACTCTTTGGCCAAACCACACAGATTGGACGTTTCTTTGCATTTAGTTTTATTAGGTCGCTGTGAGAATTTTCATTTATTCCAAACAATAGATCATTTTAAGGTAAAAAAAAAAGTCAAATCAGGTAGAATTCAGTAGATTGAGCGGCATTACATTAAGCGGCACTAAATCTATTTTACCTTGCTGAACAACATCTTTTTTATGCTCTTTTTCAACAGTGTTACTCTAGGGAAATGCCACTTAAAGTACATTTAAGTGGGCTTTGTGTGAATATCTAGAGTTTGGAATCGATTATGTTGTCTTGTATTAGAGGAAAATGTGTTCAAGTCTTCTTCCATTATACTGTTGTGTTCTTTTCAAATCTTTTTCAACGTGTATATTTTTTATTTGACGTTTTCTAAAGTCAGTTTCGTTTTGCCGGAACAAATCTGTTTATTGATCTCTGTTGCCACACTATGCACGCAATTGCGCTGTTCTGTGACAGTGTCAAAGACGCATGTTTCTTCAATGTTTTAAGTTTTTAGAGCTCTTGTTTTAACAAGACCCATCAGGTTTTCTTCTTATGAACTGAATACAATGTGAGAATTTTCAATAATCCATTTTCGATTTTGAGACTCAAGGCTTTTTGATGTAATTTCAATTCTGCTGTATAGGAAACTCAATGGATCCAATTTTTCTAAAGGCCTCTTTGTAAACTGGAACCAATAGACTTTTAGGTTTCTACAGGAACTTAAATTCACATGTTAATTTAAGTCTTGGCTTTTAAGCCAGTGTTTGTCAATGTTTCATACATTTTTCCTCAGAAGAATCCAAAAATTTTCCACACAAGAATAGATGGCCTCTTTAAGAGGCATATTCTGATAGCTTTTACTTGAATTCACCATGAGAAACCAGACGAGATGTTTGAGGAACTTTTTATCTCTTGATTGCCATCTCCTTTAAAAATTTTGCATGTCTATCATTATTTTCAAGGTTACATTATTTCAGTTAAATCTCGGTATTTAAGATAGCCCTATCTTGGACTGGTCTCTTTGATCTGCTGTCGTTATCTGTCTTTAGACTCTGCCTGCATTGCATGCATGAGTAGTTTTTCTGCTACCTCCAATTTTCATTTTTATTTCAAGCCTCTTTTTTTTTTTTTTTTTTTTTTTTTTTTTTTTAAATTGTTTCCTTTTTTTTATTTTTTCCTTCTTTGCATGATCTGTTTTGCCAATAACTCAAGCTATAACCTTCCACAATGAATGCATTATTTAACACACAGTCTGTGAACAATTGAAGCCTGTTCTCTCAAAAACCATATGAAAAGTAAACAATGTAAATAAATTTTTATTATTTTCTTATTACTGATTGGATTGAAGATTTTCTTCTATTTTCAAGGTTAAATTTCAGAAAGAGCTTCTCCTGGAAAATGACAGAGGTCCAGAGGGGTTATCTAATCCTATTTTAGCATCCAAAATTGTATTCGAAAAAAAAGAGTGGTGTTGAATTTGAGTTTTGATTTTGTATTCTTAAGTTTCTTTCACTCTTATTGCCTCAAATTGAAAATGTTCGCATAAAAACGGTGTCAAGTGCACTCAAAAATTTTAGGTACACAGTCAAGAAGATTTTACTGAATGGGCCTGTTGCAAACTTTTGCTAGAGCAAAAATAAGAGTTGTTTCCCATAGATGATGCCTCAAAAATCACGATGAGCGCATCGGCAAAGTCTAAAATGCACTCATAAATTCACAATCTGCGTAAGAAAGTTGCGTTATTTTGAGCTTCCCGCTTCAAAAACGATACTACGGCACAGGTGAACATTTTGTAAGAGGAGTCGTTCCATCGTCGGCAATACTCATCATGGCCGACGCCAATCCGCCAAAACACGTGTGATGTGACGAGATAACACCTGAACTGGATTAGACCAGATAACAATCGGCGTGTTTACGTTCATATTTTCCACGCCCGAATTGATTGACTTTGAACTCTCCTCGAATTACGCGCGGAACTGCGCGCAAGCGTCAGCCATGCTGAATATCGCCGACGATGGAGCGACTCCTCTAACAAAATGTTCACCTGTGCCGAATTATCGTTTTTGAAGCGGGAAGCTTAAAATAACGCAAATTTCTTACGCAGATTGTGGAGTTATGAGTGCATTTTAGACTTTGCCGATGCGCTCATCGTGATTTTTGAGGCATTATCTATAAGAGACAACTCTTATTTTTGCTCTAGCAAAAGTTTGCAACAGGCCCATTAGCCTAAGGAACTAATTTCATTGTATAAAGATGTTGTTAAGTTTTTAAATGTTGCCTCAGTTCTGTTTTCCACTGCTGTTTTATTTAGACTCTATAACTTTAAATCAATCTTTGTTCACCCTGAGTAGATCTCTAAATTTTGATGATTTAAGTATTTTTATAGTTGTTGACTGACCGATTTAAAAATAACTTCCACAAGTACATTAAGATGCTGTATTGAGAGAGGAATGTGGGTATCTGAATTTGGAATAAACAGCAAGGCATCAGGATTTTTTATTTCAATTTCCTATGCATCGTCTCACTTGAGAATCGTGAAATTCTAGCGGTAAACAAGGAAGCTAATTTCATCCAGTGTAAAATAGAAAACAGTGTACGTCAGTAGGGAAAGCCAGGAACATGCTCTCCTGGTGAAAAATATTTTTTGCGTCGGATTAGGTTACCTACCCTAAATACTCACTATTTATTCTTTGGCAGATTTACATATTCGATGTATTTATTCATTTAATTATTTTTTTTAAACTTTTTAGTTCCTCTTATTTTACAAATTTATGTAAATACGTTCTTTCAAAGTTTGTCAAAACTTTGTCTTGAGTCAAAAACTAGTCATTAGTCGTAAGTTTCTAGTGTAAGAATACACTTACTATGTTAGGCTCTAACTACGTATATCATAGGCTGGATTAAAGGATCATAGGTGTACTTAAAAATTACTTAGCTCATAAGTTGCATAAATCTATTTATATTTTTCCCTTAAGAGATAAGGTGTAGATCGTCTCCCTGAAGTAGCCTTGATGTCTTTGGTGTCTTTCAATGAGTCAGTGTCCCTTCTTCTTATCCATTTGTTTTTTATCCCCATGTATTTTAATTTAGACTGATTGTGAAATTCCCCCCCCCCTTTTTTTTCAATACAGTAAATCGTTTTCCTCTTTAGTAATGTTTACACAAAATCAACAGCAAACTATATGTGTGGTAAATTTGTGGCCTTGGGAACTGACTCATTGAGTGTGAGTTTATATTTATCAGATATATTTTTACAATTAACATTTTACTATGTTACTAAGTTCTTCACAACTCTGAAAAAGTCTCTGTGTCAGTTGTATCTTTTTTCGTATGAACAAATCATGAATCAAGAATTCATTGGGCGGGGGATTTTCTTTCTCCTCCCTCTTTTTCAATTAAAATTTCCAGTATCCACTTACAAAAAAAAAAAAAACAAATCACAAATCTACGTTGAAATCAGATTTTTCAATGGAAATCTCAACACAGGCAACCTTTCATAGGTATTTGATTTGAAAATGGGACAGTAGCAAGGAATTTCTGTAGGGATGAAAAACAGCTCAATTAACCCGAAACGACAGTACAAAATCAACAACTTAAAATGGGACTCAGGCCGTAAAACAAAACTAGCCTCATCTCCATTTTAGGTGTTACTTTTGCAGGGATGTAGTATAGTTTTTCAAAGGTATAATCTCTTGAAAAACCTGCAAAGTTCATGAAGAAGTTTAAAAATTAATTTCCAAGGGGAGTATTAAAATCGGAGCCGATTGTCAAATTGATGAAGCAAGACAATGCCTGAAGATGAGTTCATCCAATCAACAAACGTCCTTTCCCCTGCCTGGCTACAACATCAGTGCTTGCTAAAAATATTGCTTCAAACAAGTTGCATTTTTGACTTTTTCAAAACGGAGTTTCTTTACAATTTTATTCAGAGTTAAAAAAAAAAAAAAAAAAAAAAAAAAAAAAAAAAAAAATGAAAAAATTCCTTAAAGCTTAGTTCACTCCGTACTTTCAAAAAATAATTTAAACAAAATGAGTGCCACTAACCCTTAGCAAAAAAATGTGCTTTAAAAGCACATACTGAGTCGTGCTCACAAATATTTATGTCTCCGTCAAATATGCAATCTTTCTTTCATGCCATCAATCCTGTTTCTGAACAAATATTTAACGAATTTTTAAACGAATATTTGCTGTCAGCTATGAGATATTTAAGGGACTAACAGTTTTTGGTTTAAGAACTTTAGAATGAAAAAACCTCTCAGGAAAATGTAAAATAAGTTGCCATTGCAAAAATCTTTGCAAAATCATAGAACCTCTTTGTTGTCATGGCCACTACTTCTTCCTTATTATAAAGTGTGCTTTCCATGATAAAGACGCCGTCGTCCATTTTACTCAATCTTGAGTCCATCATTACCTATTATTATACATCCAGAATTTCGTACATTAAGTCGTGCCTGTGTCATTCGTATTTTATTCAAGCCTACTTCACCCTAGTTTGAGAAGTTTTCTGTGGTTTTTCTTTATTTTGCTGGAAAACACCTATTTCCAGTTCCCCAGGGATTTTGAGAGCAGGTGTTCCATTATATCACTTGTAATAATAGCTCTTTTTTTAAATCATTGTTTTGTACATCGTTTATCATGCATTGTACATCGTACAAAATTGACTCATATGAGTATATCGCTAATTTTAAGTAGCATCAACTTTTATTTTGTCCTTATTTTATACCAGTAAGGTTTCCAACGGGAGTTCCATGGAATGTAAAGCATATTCTAAATTTTTAGGTCCCTTCAGTAATTTTTTGTTTCAGAAAGGAGGAGACTTCTGTACAGTAGTGTTATTAAGTACGAATCAACATTTATTGAGGTTTACATTGTAGTTTTGAAATGAAGGAATTCTCCATTAACATCATTTTTTTTCTCTTTTTTTCCCAATTTTTACTTGTTGCATCCAGAGTCAGTATTTTAGATTAAAAGAATTCTGTTTGCAAAGAATTTATATCGTAGTCTAAAAATGTTTTACAATCATGCAAGAACCCGTCTTTAAATGCCTCAATTTTAAACTTAAAATATTTGAGACTCAATTAAATACACTTTCCCCAACTTTAAAAATCATAGTTTGTTTCAAGTAAAATGATTCCAACTCTGTTTCTAGCCGAAGTGCATAAAATCCGTAATTCAAAATCTGTGTATCTATTTTTGCATTCGCTGAGGTCTTTTGTTAAAGTAAAACAGGTAGTGAAGGAGAAAGTGAAAAAGACAGAGAGGATACAGAAGACAATGAAATATTGCAGGAGTAATCAGTAATCAATTGTTCTGTTTTTGAAGTGATTGTTACATCATAGAATTATTGTTCCAAAATATTGCATCAAAATTTATAGAGGTTAGATTCTGACCGTATCTGATATCAAAGGTTTCCTGTCATTTTTTAATCTGTTCTGATTTTCTCATTAACATGGAAAATCATGAAGTATGATTTTGCAACCACTGAGTCTTGAAGCTGGATTGCTTGATAGTTGGATAACAGGAAACGAAGTACCTAGGAGGAAAAGAGTTGGAATGTTGCCAGATAAATTCAGAAACAATACCACCACTGATTACGACAATCTAATGTTTACCGCTGTTATTTATACATTTATTTTTACCTATTCTATTACTATTTCTCTTATTATGATCAACGACAACTTTATGTTTTTGGCTTTAAGTTACTGGATATGATATCGCAAAAGTAAAATTTTAAAATTGGTCCTCTGAGTGTAAAGCAGATATCTGTTCTGTATTCAGAGGTCGGTTGAATTCGAGGATTATGTACCATAGTATCGAGTCCTCATTCTGCTGGTCACATATGAACCTAAAAATCCTAAAGCAGGACGTCTGAGGGTTGCATGGTTTTGGCGCGTAAAGAAAACCAAATGGTCGAATTAAAAATGTAAATCACACGTCCGTGATCACTTGTAATGATAAACTGTTTTCAGTGTACATCAGTTATTCTCTCATGTATTAATTTTTTTTCTCAGAAATAGAAAATGGGACTACCAGGGATATAATTTTAAGAGAATAATCATATTAAACAAGAGATCGTATTTACTCTTGTGTCTCGACCAAGAACAAGGGGCTAGTAGACATGATCTAAATTAAATCGTTTCTTTTCTTGATTTCTAAAATCAGTCTGTTTGATGAACATCAAAATCTATGTTACTTTTAGCAGTATCAGTCAGTTACAAAAAGTCAAAAAGCAGATGCTGTCATTCAAGGAATTCAATTGCAATCACACTGATATTTACACCATGAAAAAATATTGTTATCATAATTCTGTGAACAAAAAAGCCCCAGGTATTTTCAATTTTCCAGACATCTAACCAGCCTTTCATTTTTTATCGCTAGTAGTCATAATTGCTTTCACTAACAAATCATTGCTTGTACCTAAGCTAACTAACCTGTGCTGTGGTTCT